GTAAAATACTTTAATTAAAGTATTTTAACTTTAAACTCTCCTGTGCCCGGGAGTCGCATTTTTACTATCATTTTTGAACATTATATATATATATATATATATATATATATATATATATATATATATATATATATATATATATATGCATTAAATAAGATCCCATGACTTTTGTGCATTTTGATAATAATTTTTTTCCAGTCCTCAGGTTTCAAAATAGAAAGACATTATTTGTCTAGTAAGCAAATGGCTGCTATTGGCAATTCTGCAAGTCCTAGTTGAGCGTAGTCATTTGAATGAAAGGAGCATTCTGGCAGTTTATCTGTGAAAATAACAGATGTACTTTCTTTAATATTATATTCTAAATGTGTAGTCAAGAAATTGGATGTGGGAGAGCCAGGTCAAAGGTTGAGAATCTCTTCAGCAATAGACCCAGGCTTGCTGTATAAGCGTCCGCTGTTCTGCACTGTTGCTTTTGATAACATAATGCCAACACAATGTTTATGCTGTTACCTTTTCAGGTGCTTATATCTGAAGGATTAGGACACTATGCAAGGGACCCAAAGTTTGTTTCTGCAACAAAACATGAGATTGCAGATGCCTGTGATATGACTATTGACGAGATGGAAAGTGCTGCAAGCCACCTTCTCAATGGAGACATTAGCAATGGAACTAATAGTGACATGTTCCCTATTTTAAATAGACAAGATTACGAACTTCAAGAATTTGGTCCTGGCTTTAGTGATGAAGAGCCAGATACTGGAAAATATGAAGAAGACTTATCTGATGAAATGATATGCATTACAACTTTATAGTATTTAGTGAGAAAAAAAAGTTTGATTTTAAACAAACAGAAGTGCCTCCTAGTTCTATGATGCTAGGCACTAGTTGGAATCAATAAGGAATCGAGCTTTGCATGAGTGATGTTATTGTCACATTGTGAGGAAGCCATACTTTTATTTATTAGTACGTGTTTCCAGTATAATGAATCAGGATTCGAATGATTTCTTCAAGGCCTTTGCTACAGAATCGCGGGCGCATCAGGGAACGAAGGCATATCTTTAGAACCAAGAAGATTTTAACCCGTTTGTGTTAAAACAAAAACAGAGGAAGTGGAAAGATTGCTGTCTTCCAATTGTGTTCTGCTGCCTTCTAGAGTGTTCACAATTCTCAGTGGAAAAAAGATTGGCACTTTTAAAGAGGTCTTCAGAAGGCTGTGGTGATGACAATCAAATGTGTCATTACCTCTGATCACAAAGCATTTCAGAAATCCACTGCATTCAGCATACCCACTCAGATATATTATTTTAAAATTTGCTTATTTTTTTTAAAAAGCTCCTTAATACATTTTACCAAACTCTTTTTGCAAGAGATTGTTTCATCTGCTGCTGAAAGCGTTTTTCTCATATGTAACAGCAGTTTACATAGTAAAACATCATTAAAAATAGTCTGTTTTATGACTATCATATCAAGGGCAAAATACACTGGAATATTTGCATTTTTACTAATGCACTTGCAACCAGGTTAAAGTAGAACTAGATAGGACAGTTTGTTAAAAACTATATAGCAGAGATTATTGTAAATAAATTCTAATCTATCATAATTTGTATTTGTAAAGAGATGTTCTATATTTTGTAATTATTGTACCGTAATTGAACCGCAGCAATATTTATGGAGCCTCATTATTGCAATTCTTCACTGAATTCTAAATAGAAGTATTTTTACTTGGACTGTATAGCACTATAGAATTAAATATTTAAATAGAGCCACCTTCATTATAAAATGTTTTTGAAGTAAAGATTTTAAAAAAACTTGATGCAACAGAGATTTTATAAAATATTTTGAGTCAATTGGATTCTGACTTTACAATGTTAACACATAGAAAATGAGTAATTATAATCTTGTATTTGGAAAGTTATTTGGAATCTGCTGTCTTTTTGAGAGCAAACAAACTGGATTTATCTCTACAACTCTTGCAATAACAGCTAGAAACAAGAATACAAAAAGCTATCAGTTTGGCAAGGTTTTTTTTTAATTTTGAAATAAACACAGATTGACGTTCCAATCCTACACCATTTTTCTAATAAAAAGCCCCATTATATAAAATGGGTTGTTTTTTTAATGAAGGTGCATAGTACTGAACCACGATGAGCATTCTATTTGGTAGAGATTTCCTACTTAGATACAATTTACAAAATGAATAGTTAACAAGTTACACAGCTTGAAGTGGAGTGTTTTGACGATGATGATTTACATAACCAAAACATTCCTAAATTGTTGAGAAAATGGCATGGTTGACAAACTTTTTGATGTTCTATATGTAATGTTTTCAGGATTTGTTTTTATACAATCAAAGGAGGGCTTCAATGTTGTTTGTGATGCAGTAAAATCCCAACACTGAAAATAACATGATTTTGGAAACCAATAAATATCAAAAGTTTATTTTATTAACATTGGATAAATAGACTTGTTCTGCCAAGCAACTTTATCAGGGTTATCTGTATTAACAAAATAGGTAGCAGTTGTCACGTTTCAAAATCGTGACGTACACAGCTAAGATTAATATAAACATTTTTGTACACAGTGGCAATTTGCTATGAATACCTTACAAACCTCTTCTTTCAAATATCGAGAGAATTTAAAGGTTTGTACATTATTTCTTGACCTACATCATTTTGTATGAAAATAAATGCAAAATGTTACTGAGAATAAAATTGTGTAATAATGTTATTATAATTTGTCTCTTCTTACCAACAAATGCAATTGGCGATTTCTTTTTGCCCCACAGTTCTGTGTCTGAATCATGGGCTTTGCTTCTTTCTTCCCTAGTCCCTGATTTCCATGACATCACAGGGAGCAGTCATCTAAGGAAGTGGGAAACACCCCTACATTCACAATCTGAATTTGGAAGAATGACATCATGGCAACAGGAAACATACTCTAAGGCAGGGGTGTCAAACTGCCGGCCCGCGAGCTGGATGCGTCATGCTGAAACCATGCCCACCCCATTGCCGGCAATGGAAAAAAAGTTGCGATACGTCACGACATGTCATGTGACATTGCAAGTTTGACACCCCTGCTCTAAGGTTTGGGATCCAAGTGAGGTTTTCAGAATAATGAGCAATGAAGTGGGTGCTACTGCTTTTGAACTATTGTTGTCGGTAGTGGATATGTTGATGGAAGATTAGAACCAGGAAACTGCACATCAGATGGGAGACATGACACATTCAGCTGGGGAATTCAGCTGGGGCCTGGTTGCAATGGCTATCATGGCTAGGTAACAAAAGGAGCTGTTGTCAGAGCCTGGCTTGTGGGCATGGCTGCCAGAATTGATAGCCAAAAAGTGTTGCTGCTTCAATGAAAGCTGGTCTGAAAATCTCACTAGTGAATCTGGGCAATGTACAGGGTAAAGGTGAAGGTTTATTCTCCAAGCTTGTGGGTTGGTTTCTGAATGTTTCATTACCAGGCTAGGTAACATATTCAGTGGAATTTAGGGGATATCAAAATCAATGTTCTTCTGTTTAGAAGGGCTTCGTGCGGTCAGTAAATCTTGTGTTGGTAAGGTCATATCAAGTGAGAGTCATATCAGGTCAGGGTCTTGTGATGGGTCTTGTGTGGGTCACCAGTGAGAATCTTGTGATGGGAAGGTTACATCAGGTGAGGGCCATTGGGAGGTGAACTGGTGTAGAGGGGCTTGTGTGGGTTGGTTGAGGGTTGGTACTGTCTCTGGTTGGTTGATTTGAATTCTGTGCAGTTGATTTGAATTCTGAGATGTTCGTAGGCTGGTTGTAGGTCGAGGTGTCTGTTGATGGAGTGTACAGGGTCCTAGCAAACCATAGAAGGGCCAGCAACAGCGAGTTTTGCTCTATCAAAGCTGTTGAATCCCTTGCGGACTATGTGACAGGAGTTACCCTGGATGAGAAGCAGGGAATGACTGACAATATCCCCTTTCCCCAGAGTGATCCTCTAAAGTCTCCTGTCAGAGTGGGGTAGAAACTGGGCCAAGTAAAATTGGAAGGAATAGAGAAGGGAGAACGGAAACTTGACTGAGATCAAATTTAGGCAGATTATTGCCAATTGGGGAGTGTGGCAGAGTTAAGCGCTAAGACAATGTCTGTAGTTGGCTGAAAGGCAGTGAAGATGGCATGTAGGCAACTTGAGGGGAATGGAAAAAGGGAATAGTAATATCAGGTCAAGTCAAGAAGCTGTGATAGTGGTGCTGGGCAAACCATTATGGAAAGGGAGAGAGCAGTTTCATCCTTGGATCTTTCCATTCAAATTCTGATGGTGGATGAACAAACCAGCTGGTGTCTATTACTGAAACCTGGCTGGGTGAAGGCACAGATACTGCTTTTTTAGAGACAGGCTCTCCAAGATTCTGAGTTCTCCACTATTCATGATCCTAAGGAAAGAGGAGGATGGTTGTGATCCTCATGGAAATCTTGATGGCAATCAAGGGCACTTTAAGGTGATATGTTCTAGATACCATATCTGTGTGGAGTTCAGGCTGTAGGAACCAGTAGGGGATAATGCTTGTCTGTTATCTCTTGCCAGGTTGCATGGCTAATCTCGTCTTGAAATTGCAGAGTTGGATTTGGAAGCCTCTCAGCTGGAGTATATCAATCTTCATGCCTCATGCCTCTATTGGCTCAGGACAATATTATTCTTAAATAATTTTTGCCCTGAAGCATGTAGGTGGTTGCATATTAAAATTCTTCAGTCTCTGTCCACCTATTCCATCTTATCATCCCATCTTATTGCTCTTTCTCTCTTTTCTGGAGGCCTAGGTATGCAAAAATGTAGTTTAGAAGTTCCTGTAATACAACTCATTGATTAGTTTAACCTTTTTTATGCCTGAGTTAGTTCACAACTAAATCCATCTCCTATGGGTTAGCTGATCGGCCATTTTTTAATGGAACACTTGCCAGATTAAAGTGTGGATTAAAGTCAACTCCCCCTAGTTTTCAACTAAGGATGCAAATAATCTGGTTTAATGAGACCAATTCAGTGCATTGCCTTTATTATTCTCTTAATGTATTTAAACAATAAGGTAAGACAAAATAAATCATAGCAGTGCCTATAGAAAGAGAGCAAAACAACAAACAAAACCCCGAGGCTAAACATAATTATATTAAAATTTGCATATTCCAGAAATAAAATATTTTGCAAAGCACAAGCAACATAATTTAATCATGATTATTTCTACTAAAAGCACGGCGTCATTTCAGCAGGCCTTTCATTCTTTTCTATTCTTTAGTGACCAATTGAAAAAAATGTCTCAAATGTACAAGATACAGAATATAGGTCAAAGAGGTCTAATCTGAACATAATTCTGCTTCAGTTATTTAGAATAATCCAAGAAAACTATCCTGAATAAAATTCAGCTACAGAATGGTGTCAATATGACAATTTTATTTCATTCTGAGATTAAATGCTGCCTTGTGTACTAGAAAAAATATGTTGCTATTTTCTCTTTTACCTTTAGACCGGATGTGGAAAATAGGCAAAATATTAAATGTATTAGCCCATCTATTTGTTATTACATAGAATCAAAAGCCATAAACTACATTCTATTTTTGTTATTTTTCCTTCCACTGTTTTGTAGGACTGTGCAAAATCTGACTTCTGTTTTATGGTAAAAATTTACTGCACATACTATCAAGTGTCTATTTATAATAATTATGTGGTTAATCAGATGTTTTTAGTAATCTATTATTAACAAATACTAACTGAAGTAAAGCATCATTTCTATTCTACATCCTTTTTCTTGACATTGAAAGTAGATTTTTGATTTAATGCTATAGAAAAACATATCAAGTGGTGCTACTCTTTATACATGTTCTTACAGAAAAAGTAGGCCAAGATTCTCCTATGGAGGCAAACTTCTAGTGCAGAGCAAAAAGTTAACGCTGAGTTTCCAGAGTCTGAGGTTTATATACTGGAACATTTTTCTCTCGAAGTGGTGGCAATCCCAAGATAAGATCAGCAGCCTTCTCTGCTATCATGATGGTTGGGGCATTTAAATTCCCGCTAACAATACTGGGCATTATTGAGGCATCAACTACTCTTAAATTTTCTGTGCCTATAACTTTGGTCTCAGGATCAACCACAGCAGTAGAATCAAAACTCTGTCCCATTTTGCAAGTACACGAAGGATGATAGGCACTATCAGCTTTTTGTCTTATGAAAGCATCTATTTCTTTGTCAGACTGAATATGTTCCCCTGGTTGAATCTCAGGTCCACGGAATTCTTCAAATGCTTTCTGAGCAAAGATCTCCCTAGCTAATTTCACACACTGGCGAAACTCCCAGACATCCATTTCTGTTAAAAGAACACAAAATAAGACTAAATCACAATGACTGTGTGTTCAGCACAGCCAATATAAATATTAATGCTACATTCTTTCTTTTCAGACAACAGTTCAGAGTAAAATGTCACAACTTAAGATACAGGAAAGGCGGGTAAGATGGACATTGCTTTATATTTTAATATCTATTTGCCATGAACAAGAAAGAACATTTTGAATGTAAAAAGAGGAAAATTGAAGTAATGGATTTCCTGTATGTACCATTTAGTAGAATAACAATTTTAAAACAGATCTTTGCACATTTAATCCTTCATCCAGGACTGATGGAAGAGGAAAAGATACAAAGAAATGGAAAATGCCATCAAAATAAGACTACCAGTGCAATATGCCATTGTCTATAGAAAGTGTAACTACATTGTTCATAGGTGAGTTTAGTTTACAAGCTGAAAACAACAACACAGAATATAGATAATTCTGCATTACCTGTTGACAAATAGTTAGGCTCAAGGATTGGATGCTCAGCTGGATCTGCATTCTTCAGCTTCAGCTTTCCTACACTGGTACTTCGCATAGGACCAATATGGACCTGTAACAATCCAAGAAGATCCATGGTAAATGGCATCTAAAGGTTCATTATAAAATAACCTAATGGGATTCATAGAAACTTGAGGTTTCACAAGTTATTTAGACATTGCACAGTTGATTTAGGCAATTATTCCAGGTTTCAAAGCTTGGTTTCTACTTCTTTCATTAGTCGCTGGCTTTATAGTGAAAATCATATCTTGTATTAATTATATTTTTATATTCAAATGAGGGTAGTTAATATTGGTTAACAAACACAAGAGATCCACAAAATCCTTTACAATGTGAAGATGCCTTTTTAGAGGTTTTGGATGAATTATATTGTCTGTATATCCATTGAATGAGAATCTATTTCATCTCTGGTTAAGCCTTCTGCCCACCAACAAAGGGATTGGGAACTATTTCCAAAAGTACAATGTGAACAACCTTTCAGGAAAATATTTCTGTCCAGTGGACATTCTAATGTTGTAATTGGTATTACTACTCACCTGATAAGCTTCCAACTGTGACGCAACCCGCCCATGGTCAATCACCTGAGAAGGGAGGAAATGGAACTGGATATCAGGGTGAGAAATGCCTGGACGACTTCTTATAAATCCACCAGTCTCTAAATGGGCAGTGGCTCCATCTCCTGAAAGGTGAAACAGCAAACACCAGATACATAAATAATGAAAATGGAAGAATGAGGGTTTCAAAAAATCATTTTACATTCCCTGTATTTTATGCTATGAACATTCACCCCACACACAGTAAAAATTGTGCCTAAGTCTCATTACGAAAACTTTGTGGTTGGAGTCCAGTTCGCAGGACATAGTTACCACCTGCTTTTGGGACTGTACTCATTGGATTGCTGGAGAAGATTCCTGCGAGTCCCTTGGACTGCAAGGCGTTCAAACCGGTCAGTCCTAGAAGAGATCAACCCCGACTGCTTTTTAGAAGGCCAGATCCTGAAGTTGAAACTCAAGTACTTTGGCCACCTAATGAGAAGGAAGGATTCACTGGAGAAGAGCCTAATGCTGGGAAAGACTGAGGGCAATAGAAGAAGGGGACGACAGAGAATGAGATGGCTGGATGGAGTCACTGAAGCAGTAGGTGTGAATTTAAATGGACTCCAGAAGATGGTAGAGGACAGGAAGACCTGGAGGAACGTTGTCCATGGGGTCGCGATGGATCGGACACGACTTCGCAATTAACAACAACTCATTGGATGATGCATCATGTAAGTCATAATTTGTTGAACAAGCCATAGTGGCCTTGGTCATAAATAACATATATTAATTCAAAACAAACCCAAATCATATTATAGCTTATAAAATCAAGAGCATGATTCGTTTGCCATGAAAGCATTCACAGTTGAAATAGGTTTTCTTTTTGCTTTAGAAATATACTTAATTTATAACATGCAGTGTACTTTGTAATCAGGTATAATTGCTTTTATATATTATTTGACCATTTAAAATATTTAAAAGTATATATTCATATTAATTTATTTTAAATTGCCTTAGCTGTCATGAAATTATTGTATTTGAGAATGTTAAGTTTTTAACATGGAACAGTATTAGTGTTATTGACCAGCACACAAGAAAAACAGTGTTGTTATACAACAGTAACAATAATTATTTGTGCTTCTATTCTAAATATTCTTTGAATGCTACAACCAATCTTAGAATTCTCAATAATTTCTATAAGTATTAACTTCCTGTTTGTTACAAGAGATTAACAACTAAGCATTTTTTGAAAATCCAGTGAAGTAAAGCTACTTGCAGACACAGTCTGAAATTCTGAAAAACCCTTGCATTTCCTTATCTGGAATGAAATGAATCATCTACAAGAAAAAAAACTGAATCATCTACAAGAAAAAAAACTATTATGAATAGACAGAGTCATTAAATCTTTCATTTAAAAGCTGATTTATATCTCTGGCAAAATGAGAACATAACAAAATATAATTCTAAATCATACCTGTGGATTTCCAGAACCATTCAAGACCAATTTTGATCATTTGAAGAGGCTTTTGTGATTTATACAGTGTTAGAGGTTGAGTGCACTTTTGCTGTATGTACACTTCCAAATGATCTTGGAGATTCTGGCCAACCCCTAGCAGAAATGACCAAAAAAAGTCCAATGTATGCATACTACAAATATTTACAACTATATTTATAAATATATAGAACTCGGACAATGCAGCACTTTGGTTTGAAAAGCAGAAAGATTTTCCAAGTGCCCATGGGGCGTCTGCACAGCACTTGTCTGCAATTCTATAAATGAAATTGGTCTTTCCTGGGATTATGTAACTACTAAAAAGGGAATTCATGTCAACCTAGGAAAGGACACAGCTGATTTAAGGAGTTCTTGGAAGAGGCTATGGCAGGGGTAGGCAACCTTGGCTCTTTTATGACTCGTGGGCTTCAACTCCCAGAATTCCTGAGCCAAGGTTGCCTACCCCTGGGCTATGGGAACATCTAAACACCTTTTACTTTCAAATTCAACCCAGCCTTATATGGAACTATACTGAATCTATCATACACACCTGAAAGATGGCAGACAATAGGGATTCCTAATTTTTTTAGATCATCTGCATTTCCAACTCCAGATAGCAGAAGTAACTGTGGAGAATTTATGGCACCACCACTTAAAATAACTTCCTTAGTAGCAAAAACCTGAAATAAAATAATAGCAATTTAATCAGACTAAATTTTGATAGACTTAAGTCAATATAAAATAATGCTATTGATTTGTAGCCTTCCGTTTTCATACTCATGTTATATCTACAAGTTTTGTAACCTAGAAATTATTAAAATATGCTCTATCATATATTTTTAAATAAAGTTTCCTTTTAAGCAATGCTAATATTTCCTGTCCATCCAAACTTATTTAATAAACTTTTCTCCTTGTTAACATAAACTATTCTTCAAAATTTAATATTGAATCAAAAGCTTTTATTAGTGCAAATAATGTATTGTTCTCCTTACAAATGCCTCTTTTCCCCCTAAACCAGGGGTGTCAAACTGCTGGCCCATGGGCCGGATGCATCACACAGAAGTTGCACCCAGCCCAGCTCCAGCAAGGGGAAAAAAGTCACAATATGTCACGACACATGACCTGAGTTTGAACCCCTGCCCTATATCTCACATTACTCAAATAATACCATTAAAATAAACATTTGCTTTGTATTATCAACCAAAGCAATAGTTTCAATATGTATCATCAATCAAAAAACATCCACATTCTGGAGATCAAAGAAAATATTGGTTTCTCACATTCTTCTATTGAATAGTCATCTGGCGGCACAAATCTGCAAGTAACTAATCATATCATAACAGTGGTATAGCACAGAAAAAATTAGCTTAACTTAACCATTTATAATGTGGCTAATTCCAGAGTATAATTTTAACAATGTAATGATTCTTCAAAAACTTCCACGTTACATTTTTATAATATTGCAATTATAACATAGGAAAACAATTTGTCTTATGAACTGCCATTTTTTTTTAATTTAAAGAAAGAGCAGGAATAAATTATTTTCACAATTGACAAGAAGTCATCCTTAAGAATTCCTAATTTTAAGCCTGGAACTAATATATATGAACTTATTAATAAATAAGCTGGACTCAGTGGTGAAAGAAGTGCACCCAGAGTTGCTGATATCACTAAATAAAATAACTCAAAACACAAAGTATCTATGAAAGCTTCAAATTAATATAGTGAAGGGGCTTTCAAACTAGCAGTGCAGTTTCAAGGTAGCAAAAAGTCAATTATCAAAGGAAACTTAGTAAATACAGACTTTTTTTCTTTCTCTTTAAAATATTAGAATGACAGGATTCTCAATGAAAGAAATAGCTATTTTCAAACCAGTATGGATTTCATTTCGAGAAGTTGGGGCGGGGGGGGGGAACCCAACATAAATGGAAAAGTGCAGAATGGAGCGGTATCCATTATAGTTTGATCAGGTTACGACAATGCTTTCTGGAGATTAATACGTGACATGGATTTGAAGTATCAATTGTATTTTGCTCTTATTTCAACAATATAAGAACCTTTACTACAACTCTAATGAGCCAAAAATGAAAAGTTAGTAGAAGCTGCTAGTTGATTTTCTTTTCAAAGTTGAAGAAACAATACTGCACATTCTTACCTTTTTCTTTTCTCCATTTTTAATATACTCAATACCAATTGCTTTGGTCCCCTCAAATAAAACTTTTGTAACAAGTGTACTGACTTCTGCAGACAGGTTTGGACGTGACAAAGCAGGATGAAGGTATGCACTAGCTGTACTCCACCTTTTACCTATAAAATGCATGTTTTTATTGTGACAATAACTGCAACACAAATAATTTATGTTATCTCAGTATGGTAAACTGCTCTGGGAAAATCTGGTTTTAAATGTTTAATAAATAAAATAAATACCAAAATAATTTTATCTGTTCTACTGTGATTATATATTAACATTTTTAAAGTTATTACCGTAGTCCACAACTGAAGATTAATCAAGGCAGAATAATAATGCAAATTCATTTACAAAAGACAAAAAAATACTAAAAACATGTAAAAAATTAAAAAACAACAACTTGAATCCTTTTTTGAGAAACAGAAAGTGAAGATTAAATGGAACTCAGCTGAAAATGGAGTCCATTTCATAGTTTGAGAAAAATATTTTACTACATGACTGACAGGCAAGTTTTTGAAAGTGGAGAAAAAGAGTCAAATAATCTGTAAAATAATCAAGTCCTAAATCTTAACAATTTCTCAATTGAAATACAGTGATACATTGATATTCATTGTTAATTGGTTACAGGAGGAGCGATGAATAGCAAAAATGATTAGTACCAAACAATTTTTTCCCATAAGGAATAATGTAGCGAGTCACAAGGAAGCTGACATCAACAAGTTGTAGCTTGTGCATTTAGTACAAAACAATGAGTACCAGGACAAAATGCACTGAATACCAAATTTGATGAGTTTCCAAGCAGTTGAGTACCAGGATACCACTGTATATTGAATTGTCCCCACAAAAAATGACAATCAGATTTTTCAATGAGAGGAATCTTATTGTGATACCATACACCACTTACAAGCCTGATCTTCCTGCTGCTATATGTGTGGGTAGAAACCAATTCAAAACCCAAATCTCAGTCTATCTCTTCAGTTGATTGACTATAGCAGTGGTGGTGAACCTATGGCACACATGCCAGAGGTGACACTCAGAGCCCTCTCTATGGGCATGCATGTCATCGCTCCAGCCCCTCCTTGCCCTGCAGCCCCCTCCTCACCAGTACCCCCCCTGGAGGAGAGTAGCACCCAAATGCAGCCCGCGCGGAGGAGTGCAGCCAAGGACATGGCAGCTGGGCAGCAGGGACAGGACTCCATCCTCGTGCACCAGCACGTGTAGTTGATGCTGTGGGGCACAGGCGGAGGGCATGGCCTCCATGGCGTTGCTGGGCCACCTGGGCAATCTGCGGCAGGCTGTGGAGACAGTGAATGGCCCTACGGGTGGGCAGGGTAGGGGCAGGGGTTGGTGGAGCGGGCGAGGCAGGGGCAGGGCTGGTTTTTGGGCACTCGGTCTCTAAAAGGTTCGCATCACTGGACTATAGGTTTATATTGCCTTGATTTAGGTTCAGCTTGCTTCTCTAATTTGATATTGAGAAAGATAATGTTTGAGTATATTGACTTCTAATAAAACTATACCTATCTCAATAAATGGAGCCAAGGATAATTTCTATTTAGAGGTTTAGGTTTGTGGCAGGTCTGACAGACTGTTATGATTTTATTTAATATTTCTCATAAACTATGGGTGTCAAATGCCTATAAAACCTTTAAGTCTGGCATGCAGTACTGGCCCTAAATCTACATTGTTGCTCTGTACTGGGTTTAATTCAGGCATTCATTTCTATTTTAACAGCTGCCATTGTGGACAATTATAATTATCTAAGGATCAAGCAAAAAACAGTTTAAGTTGCAGTTCTGAATTTGTATGCCAAACCCTTTGCCATGGCAAAATAAAGTATCTACCTTTCCACACAACTTTTAAAAATGAAACAAGTTAAACGAAAACCAGATGGTTAATGTTTTATCATTCAATTGCTGCTCTATTGTATATTTACTGTGGAAAGAAATTGGTCTGTCAGCCAAAGTAAAAAATTCCAGTGAACCAGCAAATGAATGAAGTTAATAATGGCTATGAGTTTATAATTTATTTATTTATAAAATGTAAAATCCATCCATCTTACCTCAGGATAACACAGGGCAGCTTACAATAATAAAAAATAAAAACTATATAAACCAAAAAGATAAATAAGTTAGTACACGCCACTTTCATATTGATTTACCAAGATCATTAAGTATTTCCTTGTGGGAATTTTGTTAGGTATAAGTGTAGGTACTATTCTGGCAGGAGGAATACTTCAACTTTGATTTTTGTCCAGAGCATTTTACAAGACAGAGATACTCATGAGAAACATTAATTTTATGATTTATCTTGCAATGTCGAGATAAATCCGAGATAAGAGCCGAGGTGGCGCAGCAGTTAGAGTGTAGTACTGCAGGCCACTTTAGCTGACTGAGTTCAGCAGGTCAGCAGTTCAAATCTCACCGGCTCAAGGTTGACTCAGCCTTCCATCCTTCCGGGGTAGGTAAAATGAGGACCCAGATTGTTGGGGGCAATGTAAATATATATATACATTCTCTAAGAATGCTTGCACTTAAAGCGGTATATAAGTCTCATAAATAAATAAATAAATAAATGTCAGTTCTTCCATAATGAATATTTAAAATCAATTGTTACTTGATATAAGGTTTATGCTGTAATTAATTTATTTTACTCACAATTATATTTTGAAAGGAAGGGTTAACCTGAATACAGCAACATCTATGGACAGTATCAAAACAGGCAAAATGGAGGAGACAGTTTAGGATGCAAACAGTGCTCCCTTTATATGTGCATCAATGTCACATATGCATTTACAAGGGGACAGGCTTGCATCACAACATCACTTCTGTCATCTTGACTGTTTTGACAGATTCCTCTGGAAGCTGCTGCTTTAATAGTCCAAAAGAATGTCTGCTGAGAAAAAACTGTGACTGATGCTATCAATTCTCAGACCAGGAATAAATATATCAGTCGCTACATTTCAGTTTTACACTGAAAAGTTCACACTCTAATAATTACATTTATAAAGTTTGTCATTTTTGTACTTGTGTAATTTTGAAGAATATTCCAGTTTACACTAATTTATGGTGACACGATTACATAAAATTATTTACAGTAATCTTAATACAGTAGTCCTCGATTCACAACATTTGCTTATTGTTCATTCAAAGTTACAACGGCATTGAAAAAAGTGGCTTGCAGCTGATCTTCATACAACCATCGTACCATCCCTCCCAGTTACATGATTAAAACTGTGTGCTTAGCAAATGGTATATATTTACAAGGGTTCCAGTTTCCCAGAACCTCGTGGTCACCATTTTGCAATGTTCCCTGCTGACTTCCGATAACCAAAGTCAATGGCAGAAGCCGGCTTTGCTTATTGAACATACGATTCACTTAAGAGTCGCTCTTTGAGGGAGATGGGCTGTCTCTAAATATGGTATATAAATAAATAAGCAACTGCAGTGATTCACTTCACAACAATAACAAAGAAAAGGTTGTGAAATTGAGTGTGATTCATTTAACAATCACCTTGCTTAGCAACAGAAATTCTGGTCGCAATGGTGGTCAAGGATTACCTGCATTATTAAATATGTGGAGAGTTTAATTACCTAATCTAATTTAAATTTTAAAAATAAATGAAATTTAGGTTTGATATATAGCACTCAATATTCCACTTAAATAGCAGGAATAGCCCTTGTTCCCACCCCACACACCCACAAAGTTTCACACCTTCTAGTCCAACTTCTTTCTCAATGCATGCTATTAGCTCCTTAAAAGAAAACATCAGCAATTATGGGCTTTTTTCATTATGAAAAAGTTTTCAAATCATTGTAAGAGTTTACAAAGACTGGTGTTCATACCTACTACAAACAGAACCCGTCAAAGCTAACCTTTATATATTGTCATATCCATCCAGCCAAAGCCTTCTTGTTGAAAACCATTCATATCATCTGTGAAAGGGTACCCAGCTTGCTGAGCTGCATCCAGGAATGTGCAATGAAGAAGGTTTTTTGTTTTTCCCCTTGACACATGAAGTGGGCCATCCCCTCCTCGATAAAGATCAGCCCCTAACTCATGAGTTTGTGCTCTCTTAAAATACGGCAAACAGAATTCATAGTCCCATCCAACAGCCCCTTCTTGACTCCACCTGTTATAATCTTCTGCATGGCCCCGAATGTACACCATGGCATTGAGGGATGAGGAACCACCCCAGACTCGTCCTCTGGGCCAGTACATGATACGATTATCCATGTGTTTTTGGGGTGTTGTATGGTAGTACCAGTTGTATTTCTCATCACAGAGATTATAAGTTAAAGCAGCAGGCATATGAATCTTCCACAATAATTGTTTGCTACCTAAAACAGTATCTTTGGGACCTGCTTCAAGTAGCTTCACAGTGTGGTGAGGATCTTCAGTCAATCGGTTGGCTAAAACGCATCCTGCAGACCCAGCTCCGACTATTATATAACTGAAAGAGTCCATATTTTTAGAATTAAGTGGAGAGGATGCTTGTGAAGATCTCATCGTTTGTCCTTTGAAAGCTTTTGAACTCTTCGGTATACATCTTTTGAATAATTCTTTGTGGGTTTGACATATAATGCCATGCTTTTGAGCACCTTTGATTAAGAAAGACATTATTTCCTATGTTATTTCAGATGTAGTCAATTTGGGTCCAAATATTCTAACCTAGAAAGGGAAAAATGATCTTAGTAAAATGAAATATAACACAAAAATGTATATTAATGTACGATATAAACTATGTCACTGTATCATTTAAAATGGCTTAAATCATACATTTCTTTAAGCACAAAGTTGAAATATGGGGAGAGGCAGGTTAAAAGATATAAAATTTGAATTTCTTTTAATGGATGTTAGGTTAGTGCACATATTACTTTGAAACTTTTACGGTATTGCCATTGCAAAACATCTTTACTTTATGGATTGTTAAACAAAACACTTTGTAGTTCCTCACTCACATTTCATCTAATTGTGACAAAACTCATCTGTTACTTTGCATTTCTCAAAAGCAAAACCATTTTCAACATTACTTCTTATATAGTTATGTATCACTTTGTATAAACCTTCTGGAGAACTGTGGGATATCAGGGGAATGGAAGTGTCCAAGGTAGATAGGTATGAGTTTAGTTTATGTATTTTGTTTTTTTCACCATCCACTTTTCATCCACTTGCTTCTCCTACCCCCATTTTGGGGCACCCAATATGTATTCAGAAGTATGCATTAAATCCAGTTAAATCCAATATGGATTCAAATATCCACATGATGACTGGGGAGAAAGGTCGCTCCACGCAATGGTCCTATTTCCTCAGTAGTGCAAAGCAGTAGATTTTGCGTAGGTTTCCTGCTTGAGCCAGAAGCTACTATTTGTTTTTATTTACTGCACTGAGTTCTGGGTCACAACGAAGCAAACATGGTGTATCCCCTCATTTTATCTTGTCAACCTGTGAGGTTAATTAGTAGTGTGAGAATGATCCTGCCCGAGCAGGGGGTTGGACTAGATGACCTCCAAGGTCCCTTCCAACTTTATTATTATTTCCCTGATCAAGGGGGAATTTGAACCTGTGTCACACCAGTCCTAGCCCAACATCCAACTACAGCACAGTACAGTACACTGCTTCCGAGACTGCAGTCACCTTTAAATATTTAAGTTTTAAACATTGAAGATGCACATTTAAAGTCCTGCGTAAAGTCCCATTTAAAGTGATCTGAGATTTAAACAACCAAAACAACCAAACTCAGAAGTGCAGAACCGAGATTAACTCCATGCAAAACTAAAAACGGTAATTTTAATTGATTTTCGACAAATGAAGGGGAGGAGGCGAAGGCGGCGTGAATATCAAAGATTCTCATACAAGTGCTTTGGATTCTTTCTTAGGCTAAAGCTTTTGATTTCACAGAAGAGCAAGATACCTGTCACACCAAACCCTTCGTTCACATCTCCCACCCTGCTTTGCCTAGCGCAAAGGCTCCCGGTATCGGTTCCACGGGCTAAGAAAGCTGTCCTTCCTTTTCCTGAGAACTTCCACTCAATTTGTACTTGTTGCACAAGAGAGCAGATCGGCTTCTTTTTAAGACCGCCTGGATTCTACCAAGCGCTCCAACTCTGCTCGCTGCCCCAAGAACTTTGAAGCGGGGGGCGGGGACAACAGAGATCTCGTTTCTCTGGTAACCCAACCGATTCCGCCATGCCGAGCGTTCTCTCACCCCACCCAACTCTGCCTCCTTCGCCCACGTCCTCTGCCAACGCAGCCCCGCCCCGCTCCGCCCAGCCGCCACGTGCTGCTGCTTCACCTACTCACACTGCCTAAGCCTGGCGCGCGCCACTCCGTCTCCCGGGGATCCTGGAGCTTCGCTTCATTCGTCGCAAAACTCCTACGCTCCTCGCGCTCTGGTGAGGAGGAGCGAAACTTTCGAGCGCCGACTTCGGCTTTGCTGACGGCATCTGCCCAGTCCAAAGAGCACCCGGGCAGGCACTAGAAGGAGGCGGGCCCCTGCGGGGGTTGGACTGCCAGGATTCTCCATATTAGATCGATGGAGGCGTCTCGTTCCTCTCCTCCCCCTTTTAGTTCCTGGAAGGAGTGCGCGGAGAAAGGAGCGGGATGGCATAACTAGACGGGCAAGTCTTCAGAGGTGCAGTGATCGCTCGCAACGTTTCTTGTACAGTAATGTAGGCCGCCTCCGAGTCTGAGCAGGTCGGTTGCAGAGAAGCGACTTGAATAAACATCTTTCTTCTCCACTTCATTCCTCACCTGCAACAATATGAAAGATTTTCTAGCTGAAAGCATGGGTTTCTTTCAGTATTTCTCCTTCTCCCTTCCAGGTTACAGTGATACTTTTACAAGAGTAATAAATTCAATAAATAAATAAATTTTAGTAATTCCAGACAACTTGATTCTTTGTGTCTTAACTTTTTTTAAAAAAAACAACTTCTGGAAACCTTTTTGACAACTTACATCTCTTATCTGTCCTGATGTGGAAGAATACTGACCCTTTCCCTACTTCAAAGTTCCATCCCCCATCCAACTACACAAAAGGATACTTTTTAAAATGTTTAGCGAGTAAAGTTTAACCTTAATCAGTGCACGTATAAAACTGATAATTGGGAATATAATAAAAGCTAAGACAATATATAATGGAAATGAATTTCTTGCTGTATCTTGTCAAAAAGCCAACTTATTATGTAATCACAGTACAAATGTACCCTGGCAACTTACTTCTTCTGCAGTGTACCACCCCTGAGTGAGCCAGGCTTAAGTCATCTATACCTGTCTTAAGTTTTAAGATAGTGTTTTCCCACTTAGGCCAGCAGCAACCTACAGCAAGAACAAGGTAAGCATTTTGCTGACTGTTTTATTGATTATGTAGTTAGGTCACGGGTGTCAAACTCGATCACATCACATGACGTATTGTGACCTATCATGATGTTTTTTACCTTTGTGGAGCCGGGGTGGGAGTGGCCTGTGCATGACGCATCCAGCCCATGGGCCGCCAGTTTTAAGTTAGGTGATTGGAGAGGAAGAAGGACAATATGGCACCTATTGACCACTCCTATTCCCTAAGACCCTGGGCTTTCCCTGCTTGCACCTTCCTTCTTTCCCCTTCTCAGGTGAGATAGAAAAGCTACAGCCTACCAAACATAGCAACTGAGGGAGCAACCACAGATTTTGAGATAACAAACTTGGAAATGGAGTATTTATGAAAGATGGCTAAATTTACATGTCAGCCATCTAACAAAATCATCTGCAAATTCCAGATGTCCCACTAACTTGTGATGTTCAGAAAGGGGTGGACTGTAGAACCAGTGGGTTTAACTAATACAGAGGGTTCAATCCTCTACATACTCAAAAGCAGGATTCCATCATTTAGTGGCAAGCCAGAACAGATGGTATGGGGCAGGAAAGGGATTGGCAATGGCCCAGAAAGTTTTATGATATATTCAGCAAGCTACTGAGCCCCCTCTGCTGTCTTTTCCTGCTTTGTCAGTGAAATATGAACCATCCCAAATGACATGGAAGGCTGCATGTTCCGATGGGCTGTGAATTTGACATCATTCTTTTAATGGGGAAAGAGGCATTCTTTAGATATCCAGTTCAAGTCTTGGCAACCTAGCCAACCTGAAGTGTCTAAATATAGGTAAAAGGTTACACATTTTTGTTATTAGAAATACTGAATTTGGGAATTTGGGTCTTCAAATATTACTCAGTTATAGTTAGCATGGGCAATGATGAGGGGTATCAGCAGTTCTGGTTCAACAATATCTGGAGAGGCAGAGGTTCCCTGTCTCTGCCATAGCATATGTCACACAGTTATTAGCTGAATGAACAGCAAAAGAAGCATTCCTAAAATGTGAAATGAAAATTATACAGGTAGTCTTCAATTTACGACTGGTTACTTAGCGTCTCTTTGAAGTTATGATGGATCTCCCCCAAACCCATTTTCAAAGTTACAATGGCTGCCCCCTCATTATGTGACTGCATTTTGGGCACTAGGCAACTGGGTCACTTTTACAACTGTTTGCAGCACCTTGCAGTCATGTGACCATGATTTGCAACTTTTTTTTACCAGTTTCCAGTATTTATTTTCAATTTCTTGCAAAAATACCCACTGGGAAAAATCAATTTGCTTTACAACATCCATAACAAATGTCAAAAAATTGTGTCTCATCTGGTAATGTCTCAGCTAATGAGTGCAAGGACTTATGGTTGTAATTCCAGGTGAATTACAGTTGTTAGTCTAGGACAGGGGTGTTAAACTGCCAGCCCGTGGGCCGGATGCATCATGCTGAAACTGCGCCAAGCCCACCCCAGCGACACCTCATGTAACATGGCAAGTTTGATACCCCTGGTCTAGGACTACCTGTACAGTATTCATCAACTTGAGAAATACCCTGCTACTTCTACCAGCTAGAAAGCCTGCAGTTGCTACCAGAACTAAATCGAGAAAAATGAAATGAAATTATCTTTGTATTCAAACAGATGTTAAATATTCTTTTATTTTTGACTTAAGCTAGTTTTGTAAATTACACAAAGTGTAATTACTATTAGGGTATCTGTCTTCTATAAATAGGAGATAAGAACAGGAACATAGCTCCTTAACAGTGACTGCTTTTCTCTCACATCCTCTACACCTCAGCCATACATTCAGAAAATTATATGTTAGAGATATTGTGTTACTACAGTCCTTTTCATTTACATAATCAAATACAATTCGTTTTTCCTATGCAAATATACATTTTGCAGAGAGGAACATTCAGATAGGTAAATTCTGAGTCTAAACCATATCCTGAAATGTGACAAAAATAAATTTACAATATGACTTCTGTTCTGGAGAATTATTACAAATGTTTTCATATTATGAAAATGTCCATGTTCATCTGAAGGATGCATTTCTATGCATCAAAGCCACCTGAAATTATAATGTATCCCTAATTTAATTCTGACTTTAGCCTAACCTTTAGTATCTGAATCTTTGCTCAGAAAAAATAGACCACATTTGATTGTTTAGCACTAAGCTAAAATATTAAGACTTATATTTCTGGGAAGGTAGGGGGACTTTACCTGACTGAGTTTTTCTGAAGTCTCAAAACTAAGTTTCATGTATGTAAATCTGAAGGATTATATATTTCCTAGCTTACTTTATGGGGAAAGATTATAATTGAACAATATTTATTAATTAAACTTATATGCTGCCAGATTCCCAATCACAGAATATATTTATATATATACACAGAGTATATATCTGTATAGCATAGTCCAATCAGTCAAGGTTTGATCAGTAATATACTGCATTTAAAAATTAAGGGGTCAAAATGAGAGTTTTGTATGAACCTTGGATTGCTATTACTGGATACATGAAGAAATAGTCTGGCATTTTGTCATATGCATATTTGACTAAAATAGGTACACAAGTTCCAAATAGATATTCCATCAATCTTTTACAAAGGTTCTGGTTAATTAATTTTTTCAATTGCCATTTCCCCCCCTAAATATATGGATCAAAAGTCTCAATGATATTGTATGCATTTTTTTCAACAGTATCCATGTAGTATTTATATCTGATGTTGGTATTATATGAACAGAAAATGATAAGGTAGTTCTTATTTGAGTTTTATATCGTAATTCATTCATAAATGAGATAAAATACTTAAAATCGATTTGCATTTTACCACATTCAAGGAGGTACCGCCATTTTATTAAACATTGTTTAAAAAGACATATAGTGACAATGTGGAGATGAAGAGATTTGTTGTGTTATAACCTTTGGGATTTGGGTGTACTTCATCAGATGCAAATACATCTTTTTGTCATCTTCCTTATTGGAATATAAAGGTAATATCACGGTCTTTGAGCAACATGTGTAATATTAAGAATTTTACAGAATTAGTTTAGTTTTCCATACTAAAAGTTGCCTAAATGACTCCAATTTTGAATTTCTTTACAATCTGATAAAGTAAGTTAGGATGAGAGGAAGCAAGTGGCCAAGTGAATACTGTTTTGAAGTTGAGCTGTCATATAGCCCTAGTCTACAGCTGAAACAATAGCGATGCATATAAGCACATATTTAGTGTATTAGCTGTGCACCCGGGATACTGTAGCAAAAACTCACTGTCAAGAATATCTGTCTATATGATACCATACAGCATATCATAAAAAAGATATTAATTAAAGATTGTGAAATAATGGTATAAAAGAATATTGTTCATAACAATACAGCAATAAAGGAAAAATACAGTACACTATTGGCAGCTACCTTGTTTCTTCTGAGCTCTGTTCCCTCACCCTAAATTTCTGCCTTCCAGCCAGAGACTAAATAATACAGTCAATGTATGCTAGTAATTTTGACCTGTTATTTAAGTTGCCCCAGGACTCCCTTCACACCCTCTGAAAATTAAGAGGGCGCAGGTTAAAGAAATTACCCAAAACGTGCTGCTCTACCAGCATCCAAGGCGTGACTGATTCTTTAGCCTGTGGGAAGCCTGTAAATTCTGGCACGGTGTTTCCCAACCTTGGCAGCTTGACAAACGGGTGGACTTCAGCTCCTAGAATTCTGCGGTCAGCATTCTGAGAGTTGAAGCCCACACATGAGACTTGAAGTCCACACATCTCCACAACCGAGACTCGCCTAGTGTGGTAGTCTGCACATTCCGGCTTCTCGGTTTCGAAAGGCAGCGTGCGACAGGATTCTTATCTCTTCGTCTTATAACCCAAGTTGGCAGGGCTCCCTCTGAGCAGCGAGCTCCTGGCGGAGCTACGGTATAGGTTGCGGTGAGGCGCGGGGCGGAGGAAAGATATAAACGTGGCTGAGGGGTAGGTTAGGAGGCTTGGTTGAGTCTTCCTCAAAGAGGCTAAGCGAGAAGAGCGAGCAGGCTAAGAGGCAGCTCCTGGGAGAGCCGGCCGGGATGAATGCTGCGGCGTGGGCGCTGCTGGGCTGGATGCTGAGCAGAAAGAGCTTCCAGGGAGAAGCCCAGTTGGTAAGCGATGCCCAAAGTGCTTGGCGCCTTTTCTTCCCTGCGTTGGCTTCGAGCCTTGCCCCTCGCCTGCTGGGTAGCGGGCAGAAATTCGGGAGGCTTTGAAGAAAGCTCAGGCGCTTGAACGCCTGCCTGGGAAAGGTAGCTTTTAAATGGCCCGCCCCTTCCTCTGCTTTGGAGATATTTAGTTGCCACTCAGGGCTTTGGGAGAAACCCCTTGTGGTGGAAGGAGAGGGGCGGTTCTACAAAGTATGGCTTATCTAATTTGTGTCGGTTGAAATATCAGCAACAGTTCTATTATAATAGCATGCTTAGGGAAACTACTTTTAAAAAAGCCAAGAATTAATTAGTCACAGCCTGGTGCAAATAAACTTTTGAAAGACTTAATTCTGAAATTAGGAACTGTTTTTTAGTAGAAATGATGAGAGATTGGGGATGAAATGCTTTCTTGATGGACTTGTAAAAAAGCAAATAATTTCTGGGTTCAAATACATACGTTACAAAAATTTTTAAAGCTCAATATTCAGCTGAAAATAGTATTCTTGCTGGAGATATTATATATATGCCATATCTATAGCTAGCTGTAGATTAACTTCTTAACCCATTAGTTTGAGACCATACTTAGCTGACTGGTTAACATCCATTTTGCCAGTAATTGTTTTTTTTGTTAGGATTGAAAAATGATGAAGGTGAAAGAGGAATGAATCCATTTACCCAACAATGAACACCTTCGAGGACGGTGGAATACAAACACAATAATGTCAGCATTTCCAAATCTTTTTAGTACTCTAAAGCTGGCTCATTTATTCATTCATTGATTTCTATAGCTGTCCATCTCAATGACTCTGGGCAGTTTACAATTTTTCTAGAAAGTAACTATTATATTTTCTTTTCTTTTAACCCTGATTTTCTTTTTCGTTGCAGCCTATCAAATGCTATAAAGAAGATGGTATGTATAAATAAAATGTGTTTTTAAGGGTTAAAATTGTTAAAATTCTGTTGCAAGTATTGGACATTCATGCACCCCATTTCCATTGTAGGTAGTTTAAGATACAATGAATATATGAAGTCCTTGTGGTCTTTTTAATCAATGTGCATCTAAACAAGTATACTCATCATATGCCTGCTTAACTTTTGCCTTTCCTTGACTGATTAGGCCAGACGAAGGCCAGACAGAGGCCACAGATGACAATCAGTGTGTCACAGAAGGAGGAAAGAACTGAAGTCTCCAGCCTTAAGTCTGTTGTAAAGCCTCTTGTGTGAAGAACCCTCCTTTAGATTCCACTGAGTTGAATAATATCTGACCAGTTTGTCATTCCTAAAGATAATGGTTAACCTTCTCTGTTCCAAACTAAAGCAAACTAAAGCAATAATACTTAAAGAATGCAATGCTGTTGGTTAGTCTGTAAATAAATACTAGTGACTTTCTCAAGGGCGGTATAATGAGTAGACTTGAGACCGTGAATTCTTTTTAACATTATACTGTTATAGTATTTCTATTAATATTTCCAATTGTGAATAAGTAGCAGAAAAAGTGAATAAAGAAAACACAAGGGATTGGAAAGGAATGGCATGGCTTATACTTCCTAAAGGTATTGTTGAAATGCAGCAGATATATAAAATTATGCATAGGAAGGATGGCTTTGGATTTTGCATGAACTTTTTATGTACTTCAGGACTCCAAGATCACACTTCCATCATTTGATGGAAAAACAATTAAATTTCAGTGTAAAAATTTTGCACTTTGAAAAAATTAATGTCATCCCATTCCTGCTCATTTTCTGAATCAGCATGTATTCTGATGACAGTTTTAGCCATCATAAGAACTTGAGAAGAGAGTACAATAAGCAAATGATCTTGAAAATTACATTTCAAATTGTTTAGCATATGGAATTTTAATGATGACAGCAGGCTATGTTTCTCCAGGTTAAATTAGTACACATGCATTTTTGTGTGATTTTGATTCTTCTTACATTTTCTCCTTCAAGAAAGGTATGAAGTAAAATGGCTGCCAAAGTCTATCAAGAGATCTTTAATTCTAAATGTCTCACTTGGAGGAAGGTGTAGGATAATCAAAAAAGAGTCATACTGCAGCTGGACTCTTACTGGCAAACTCTCCAATCCAGCTCCTATAGATTCTGTAGCTATTGGCATTTCTGTACCCTTTCTAGAAGGATGGCCAAGGCAGAAGGAACTCCAGATGATGTGCCACCAGCATGGATTTTTCTGGGAATGAATGGTAGTGTTCAGAGAAGGAGGAGTATAAAGCATCCAAAGCTTCAAGACCTTGTAGGCTAGTTGGCTAGCCTAATAAACTGGAGGTTTTCACTGCAAATGTATTAACTCCTCACTTTCATTCTTTGCAAGGGCCTCATCCTGAGTTGGAACAAGAACATAGATTCACACCAGCAGATCTTTTTAATATCAGCATCAAGATTGTTGAAATACAAGGAATATGCAAATTTAACATAAGTTGGATCCTTAATGAAGATGGTAAATTTCATTTTTTATGTAACAGGCCTATAAATATTTTGTATTAAATATAACAAATACTTTGATATATAATAAATACTGCAGTGATCTCTTATAATGTGCCCTTTCTGCTCTGATTTTAAAGGGGAAGTAAACAATGTTGTGATTTTTTTTGGTGTCTGAAGGCTGTGGGCTTTGGATGGATCTGGGACTTTACCATCTTGGTAGTGGATAAGGTGGCACCACCCTATACAGACGTGGTGGACAATCTGGAGGTCCTTCTAAATTCACAATTCCTGTTCGAGGTTTAGGTGGCAGTTATGGCTGGGAGAACCTTTGTACAACTTCATTTTGTGTGCTAGTTGCACACTTTCCTGGATCATGAGACTGCTCACAGTTATACCCTGGTCACCTCCAGAGTAGATTGTTGTAACATGCTCTGCATGTGGCTGTCCTTTGAAGAGCATTTGGAAGTTTCAGTTGATGAATAGTGTGGCTCTACTCACAGTTATGTGTGCCCCTAGGATGGCACACATTATACATTTGCTCCATGAGCAGCAATTGTTTCCTGTCTGCTTCTGGGTGCAATTCAAGGTGCTGATTTTGACATATAAAGCCCTACATTGTATGTGATCAGGTTTCTTGAGGAACTGCCTTTTCCCAATTATGACTCTTTATCCCTTCAGTTCAGCAAGAGGTGTATGCTGTGGGTCATGCCTGCTAAGAAATTCTATCTGGTGGGACCCAGAAGATGTGCCTTCTCTGCTGCAGCTTTGCCCTCTAGAACAGAGGTCCCCTGGCACCAGGGACCAGTTCCGTGGAGAGAGGTTTTTCCGCGGACTGGAGGGGTTGTGGTTTTGAGTGCTGCCTGCATACCGCAAATGGGGCTTTGCTTATTTGTGTGGACCGGTTGCTGGCATGCCCGGCCCGGTATTGGTCCACACACTGGGGGTTAAGGACCCCTGCTCTAGAACATCACTCCCCCAAGGTGAGGTTGGCCCCATCCTGGTAGCCTTCCAGAAAGCCCTTAAAGTGTGTTTTCCCAAAAACCTTGGGGTACCCATGAGAAGCCTGCAAGGTGGTTATATGAAGTTATATGATTGTCTCAGACACTTGGCTTTTTCATGTTTTTAACATGAAAATTGGGGGGTGGGAGGATTAAAACAGTTTTCCTTTGCTATTATTCCTTTCTGTTTTCTGATTCCTGTCTGATTTGGATATGCAAAACACTTTGATTACTTCTAAAATCCAGCAGTAAGAGAACAAATATATATTTCAGTATTGGATACCATAAAGATAGATAAATAGGCTAGAATGCAGAGTTGACTCAAGGTAGTAAAGTAAACACAAATCTGCCATTGTTTGTCTTTGGGAGATCTGTAATAGTTGGAATAGCACTGTTACTGATAACATCTTGAAAACAAACTAGAATTCTTTGACAAAACAATTTTCTTGCAGCCAGTATACAATACTTGAAGGCAACCAAGATATGTGAATCCCGTGAAGGCTGTATTCGATGTGATTACCTAGAAGCATTTCAAAGTCAAACCATGTCTAAGCATAAAAAAGTAAGAACATTTTTTAAAAGTTGTGGTTTGCTGCTATTATATTGTATTGATAGAATATGGTCTTACTCAGTTTAGTAACCTAATGCAATAGTAAATTATTTCTTTTAAGATAACATGATAAGTTAGACTCTGTACAATAGAACAAAAATCTTCTGAACTGAAATGACAAAAACCTGGTTTTTATGTAAAATTATTGTGAGATGAAAATAAACTTCAGTGCTCCAAATGTGCTCAAAGCTTCTGTTCTGTAATATTTTTTTTGATAACTAGCTCTGGTTAATGGGTATTAAAATATCATAAAAATGGAAAGTCGACTCAGCTATTGAATTTCTGTTTTGTTTGAGTAAAAACACAATTATTCTGAACTTTTTGGTATATTAAAATTCTACTAAATCCTATGTTGGACAGTAAACAATAACGACCAGTAAATAAATAGTAACCCAAGATAAATTTTTAGGCAACTGAAGAAATCAAAATATTATATTGTATATATGTGCTTATTTAATGCTCACTCAAGTCAAAGGTTGAATGTTTACATATTTAGTTCACAGCATGTCAGATTACAAAAGCAACAGAAGAAATAAATCAAAATTATAAAGAACAATAGTACTAATAAATTAACCCTCCGCAAAATATATGCCAATTAAGGTTAGGATTGAGGGTCCAGTGAAATAAAACTGTCTTTAAAATTTATATAACATCCATGATAGAAGTAGCTTTATGGACCTCTAGAATGGAGAATTCTAAAGCATGGGGTTTGCCACACAAAAGGCTTGTCACCTTGTCCATGTCCTCTTTTCAGATGGAGGTAACACATTATTATGGTTGATTGCACAGTCAGCCAGATGTTTAGACTGGATTTGACATTTTTATCCACCTATTGAGTCTTTCTATAGGCAGATTTTGTTGTTTGATGGTATTGATGATGACGATGATGATTGTATTTTCATGAAACATATTTGAAAAGGGAAGAAGGAAAAAAAAGACAAAATAAGACAAAAAAGAAAAACAACTCAGAAAATAAATAGAGAATTTATGAGCAAGATAGGATATTTGTTAGATAAGAATTTTCAATATTTTATAAGTTTTCCATAAATGAAATAACATAATATCTTATACTGATTTTAAAAACTGATGTTATTGTCACATTGTGAGGAAGCCATACTTTTATTTATTAGTACGTGTTTCCAGTATAATGAATCAGGATTCGAATGATTTCTTCAAGGCCTTTGCTACAGAATCGCGGGCCCATCAGGGAACGAAGGCATATCTTTAGAACCAAGAAGATTTTAACCCGTTTGTGTTAAAACAAAAACAGAGGAAGTGGAAAGATTGCTGTCTTCCAATTGTGTTCTGCTGCCTTCTAGAGTGTTCACAATTCTCAGTGGAAAAAAGATTGGCACTTTTAAAGAGGTCTTCAGAAGGCTGTGGTGATGACAATCAAATGTGTCATTACCTCTGATCACAAAGCATTTCAGAAATCCACTGCATTCAGCATACCCACTCAGAGATATTATTTTAAAATTTGCTTATTTTTTTTAAAAAGCTCCTTAATACATTTTACCAAACTCTTTTTGCAAGAGATTGTTTCATCTGCTGCTGAAAGCGTTTTTCTCATATGTAACAGCAGTTTACATAGTAAAACATCATTAAAAATAGTCTGTTTTATGACTATCATATCAAGGGCAAAATACACTGGAATATTTGCATTTTTACTAATGCACTTGCAACCAGGTTAAAGTAGAACTAGATAGGACAGTTTGTTAAAAACTATATAGCAGAGATTATTGTAAATAAATTCTAATCTATCATAATTTGTATTTGTAAAGAGATGTTCTATATTTTGTAATTATTGTACCGTAATTGAACCGCAGCAATATTTATGGAGCCTCATTATTGCAATTCTTCACTGAATTCTAAATAGAAGTATTTTTACTTGGACTGTATAGCACTATAGAATTAAATATTTAAATAGAGCCACCTTCATTATAAAATGTTTTTGAAGTAAAGATTTTAAAAAAACTTGATGCAACAGAGATTTTATAAAATATTTTGAGTCAATTGGATTCTGACTTTACAATGTTAACACATAGAAAATGAGTAATTATAATCTTGTATTTGGAAAGTTATTTGGAATCTGCTGTCTTTTTGAGAGCAAACAAACTGGATTTATCTCTACAACTCTTGCAATAACAGCTAGAAACAAGAATACAAAAAGCTATCAGTTTGGCAAGGTTTTTTTTTAATTTTGAAATAAACACAGATTGACGTTCCAATCCTACACCATTTTTCTAATAAAAAGCCCCATTATATAAAATGGGTTGTTTTTTTAATGAAGGTGCATAGTACTGAACCACGATGAGCATTCTATTTGGTAGAGATTTCCTACTTAGATACAATTTACAAAATGAATAGTTAACAAGTTACACAGCTTGAAGTGGAGTGTTTTGACGATGATGATTTACATAACCAAAACATTCCTAAATTGTTGAGAAAATGGCATGGTTGACAAACTTTTTGATGTTCTATATGTAATGTTTTCAGGATTTGTTTTTATACAATCAAAGGAGGGCTTCAATGTTGTTTGTGATGCAGTAAAATCCCAACACTGAAAATAACATGATTTTGGAAACCAATAAATATCAAAAGTTTATTTTATTAACATTGGATAAATAGACTTGTTCTGCCAAGCAACTTTATCAGGGTTATCTGTATTAACAAAATAGGTAGCAGTTGTCACGTTTCAAAATCGTGACGTACACAGCTAAGATTAATATAAACATTTTTGTACACAGTGGCAATTTGCTATGAATACCTTACAAACCTCTTCTTTCAAATATCGAGAGAATTTAAAGGTTTGTACATTATTTCTTGACCTACATCATTTTGTATGAAAATAAATGCAAAATGTTACTGAGAATAAAATTGTGTAATAATGTTATTATAATTTGTCTCTTCTTACCAACAAATGCAATTGGCGATTTCTTTTTGCCCCACAGTTCTGTGTCTGAATCATGGGCTTTGCTTCTTTCTTCCCTAGTCCCTGATTTCCATGACATCACAGGGAGCAGTCATCTAAGGAAGTGGGAAACACCCCTACATTCACAATCTGAATTTGGAAGAATGACATCATGGCAACAGGAAACATACTCTAAGGCAGGGGTGTCAAACTGCCGGCCCGCGAGCTGGATGCGTCATGCTGAAACCATGCCCACCCCATTGCCGGCAATGGAAAAAAAGTTGCGATACGTCACGACATGTCATGTGACATTGCAAGTTTGACACCCCTGCTCTAAGGTTTGGGATCCAAGTGAGGTTTTCAGAATAATGAGCACTGAAGTGGGTGCTACTGCTTTTGAACTATTGTTGTCGGTAGTGGATATGTTGATGGAAGATTAGAACCAGGAAACTGCACATCAGATGGGAGACATGACACATTCAGCTGGGGAATTCAGCTGGGGCCTGGTTGCAATGGCTATCATGGCTAGGTAACAAAAGGAGCTGTTGTCAGAGCCTGGCTTGTGGGCATGGCTGCCAGAATTGATAGCCAAAAAGTGTTGCTGCTTCAATGAAAGCTGGTCTGAAAATCTCACTAGTGAATCTGGGCAATGTACAGGGTAAAGGTGAAGGTTTATTCTCCAAGCTTGTGGGTTGGTTTCTGAATGTTTCATTACCAGGCTAGGTAACATATTCAGTGGAATTTAGGGGATATCAAAATCAATGTTCTTCTGTTTAGAAGGGCTTCGTGCGGTCAGTAAATCTTGTGTTGGTAAGGTCATATCAAGTGAGAGTCATATCAGGTCAGGGTCTTGTGATGGGTCTTGTGTGGGTCACCAGTGAGAATCTTGTGATGGGAAGGTTACATCAGGTGAGGGCCATTGGGAGGTGAACTGGTGTAGAGGGGCTTGTGTGGGTTGGTTGAGGGTTGGTACTGTCTCTGGTTGGTTGATTTGAATTCTGTGCAGTTGATTTGAATTCTGAGATGTTCGTAGGCTGGTTGTAGGTCGAGGTGTCTGTTGATGGAGTGTACAGGGTCCTAGCAAACCATAGAAGGGCCAGCAACAGCGAGTTTTGCTCTATCAAAGCTGTTGAATCCCTTGCGGACTATGTGACAGGAGTTACCCTGGATGAGAAGCAGGGAATGACTGACAATATCCCCTTTCCCCAGAGTGATCCTCTAAAGTCTCCTGTCAGAGTGGGGTAGAAACTGGGCCAAGTAAAATTGGAAGGAATAGAGAAGGGAGAACGGAAACTTGACTGAGATCAAATTTAGGCAGATTATTGCCAATTGGGGAGTGTGGCAGAGTTAAGCGCTAAGACAATGTCTGTAGTTGGCTGAAAGGCAGTGAAGATGGCATGTAGGCAACTTGAGGGGAATGGAAAAAGGGAATAGTAATATCAGGTCAAGTCAAGAAGCTGTGATAGTGGTGCTGGGCAAACCATTATGGAAAGGGAGAGAGCAGTTTCATCCTTGGATCTTTCCATTCAAATTCTGATGGTGGATGAACAAACCAGCTGGTGTCTATTACTGAAACCTGGCTGGGTGAAGGCACAGATACTGCTTTTTTAGAGACAGGCTCTCCAAGATTCTGAGTTCTCCACTATTCATGATCCTAAGGAAAGAGGAGGATGGTTGTGATCCTCATGGAAATCTTGATGGCAATCAAGGGCACTTTAAGGTGATATGTTCTAGATACCATATCTGTGTGGAGTTCAGGCTGTAGGAACCAGTAGGGGATAATGCTTGTCTGTTATCTCTTGCCAGGTTGCATGGCTAATCTCTTCTTGAAATTGCAGAGTTGGATTTGGAAGCCTCTCAGCTGGAGTATATCAATCTTCATGCCTCATGCCTCTATTGGCTCAGGACAATATTATTCTTAAATAATTTTTGCCCTGAAGCATGTAGGTGGTTGCATATTAAAATTCTTCAGTCTCTGTCCACCTATTCCATCTTATCATCCCATCTTATTGCTCTTTCTCTCTTTTCTGGAGGCCTAGGTATGCAAAAATGTAGTTTAGAAGTTCCTGTAATACAACTCATTGATTAGTTTAACCTTTTTTATGCCTGAGTTAGTTCACAACTAAATCCATCTCCTATGGGTTAGCTGATCGGCCATTTTTTAATGGAACACTTGCCAGATTAAAGTGTGGATTAAAGTCAACTCCCCCTAGTTTTCAACTAAGGATGCAAATAATCTGGTTTAATGAGACCAATTCAGTGCATTGCCTTTATTAT